ACACACACGCACACACAACAACAACACCAGCGCATAATGCACACAGCGTACCAACACCCGATGCACCACTGCACGTGCTGCCGAGAGTCATCCTGAGCATTGGCTTTCGCCAGTTTTTTCCGCCGACGCCACCCACGACCCCGGGGAGGATTGGCCGATCGGCTCAACCCGCGGCGCCTGGCACGCGCGCAGAATACGCCTGTTGATCAGATTGCCCACCCAAGCCCCCTCCCGCCCTCCGAAAACCCCTTCGCGCGACCCCAGGCCCTCAGGCGCGCCCTAAGCCTTTGCCGAGCGAAACGCTGCTCGCCTGCGCAGCCTGGCGGGCCAAGTGGCCGCATACCCCGTGAGTTGGCGGGTGTGGCTGCGCCCAAGAGACGTGCGAGCGGGCGGCGCCCAGCAAGACGCGGTCGTGAAGGTGAAGGGGCGGAGAAGGCAAAGACCGTTCGGGCATAAGGCCGACGCGGCTCGTGGGGCCGCCAATCTCACACACTGCGGGGGAATGAAACCAGGGGGCCCCGAGCGATGCGGCCACCCTACCAAGGGCACGCCCCTGATCTGTGCCTTCCCTTGGAGCAGGCCGAGGGGCCCATCCAGCGGGCGCTCTCCCCAGCTTCCCGCTCGTCGTTGCTTTCCGTGTCGCGCAGGTATTTCCGGCCAAGTAGGTACTTGCCGCAGGGAAACGGCAAGTTTGTGCTGCCCTCGCCCGAAGCTTCCCGCCGTGATGTTGTACACCTGCTTCCCAACCACACGGGCAGGCCGCTCAATCATTCGTGGGGACAACATGACGCAGCCAGTTTCGGCAACGTTGCGCGAGGGCCGAGTGTGGCGACTTTTGAAACTTGGTAATTCTGGGGTGGCTCATTCGGGAGAGTTGAGCTTTCACTGTGGGTACAGATTCTGCGGACCACGTGATCTTGTCGGGCCAAATTTGTCTTGTGTGGGAGTGACGTGACGATCAGGGACGTGCCGGGAACCTGTGGCCCTGAGGAGTCGCGTGCTGGGAAGACGAATTGTACTCCGAAGATGAGCTTTTGATGCTGCCGAGGTGCCGCTCCATTAATGTGCCTTGGGCTGAGAAGATGCAACAGATGACGACCCGCCCTTGGCAATGATCTGCCGTGGCCTGCGATAAGGCGCCATGCCTGAGCCGCTGCTGAGAGGCCGCGCCACTAATGGTGGACCTATGGTAACGACCCGGGCTGTGTGGATGAGCAACCGTGCCTTTTGATAATGAATATTATATAAATTTTAAACAAATTTTTTTATTACTGGGGAACTGAAGTGTCGCCTGATGGTGTGCCGTGCCATTTGAAGAGAAGGCCCGGCTTTTGATGCGCTGTGATGGACTGCCCAGCCAGCTGATGATGCTGCGACGTCTGGCGGTGGGAATGCTGGTACCGCACAACAGTAGGTGACGAGCATGACGCACAGATTCGTCTGAGTAAACACTGAGGTGCGGTACACATGCCTTGACGCATTTGGGTACCTCCTGCGGCAGCGCGCGATGGGATTTGCCGTAGTATCAGCTCTGGTGTCACAGAATCGTGGGACGGCCCACGTGGAAATCTGTGGCATGGCTGTTGAAACGCACCGACATGGAGCATGGCACACGTTAGTACATTTCAAAGGCCTTCCCACATATGCCCACGTGGGCCGTTCCAGGGGAGAAAGCGTTTGGGAGGCCGTGAGAAACTCGTCGGCCCCACGGGCCCATGTACGACGCATTCTATAAACGTGTTGAGTCGTCTGGGGTGTTGGGTCACCCTGGCAGTCTACACGCGTCATTACGCGTACATTTCAGACATGTGTCGCGCATTTGGTGAAACCCTACACTCAGTGCGAGACACACGTATTCCCTGGAATGCACGAGCAACACTGAATTAAACGACAACAAGAAGCAGGATTGGAAATTGTCGTGTATCCTGACGATGGCTGTGTGTGCGCGTCAAGAGCGTCTGTCACAGCCAGGGCCTTGACTGGCGCAAACTCATACCCTCAAGTGCAGTCACGGCTCAGTCAGCCCAGTCACATCCCAGTAAGTCCAATCAGGACACTGACCGTGACTTGTGCCCTTTGACTCGCAAGCAGACACCATGTGCTCCCAAGGAGAGAATTCGGCGTTGTGGCAGTCGCTGGCGGTGGTTCCGACTTGGTGAATGCAAGAGATTGACCGCTGAAGTTCCTGTGGTCGCCGTTCTGCGAATCCATATGGTGGCTGGTGGTTTTGCCCCTGTTGTCTGTCTTTCGCACCCAGCGCCAGTTGGTCGAGGCTCAGTTGCAATTGGAGTGTGCGTGACTTCGTTTGGTCTGGATGCCGCGTTTTGCACCATCCATGGGGCTGTTCGTTTTCCCACAAAATGGCCAACATTTTTTTGGCACCTTTTTTTCATGGTAGTCAAATGGGGGCGATGTGCGTTTGCCCCAAGGCGGCAAGGGACGAGTGCTTGGGGCTTGTGATGGATGTCAGTTTTTGGCACATTACTAAGGATGGTGCCCAGAGCCATCACGGCGGTCGCTGGCACCCTGGAGGTGGATGGAGCGCCGGTTTTGAGCATCACGTAAGGCTGGTATTGGCGCCGGCTTTGATGGGCCAATATCACGGAGCCGCGGGGGCAAAACGCGGGGTGCTGCGCGAAGAAGCGCGAAGTGCGGGCCGATGTGCCGCGGGGTGCGATGCGAAATGCCGCGGGGTGAGAAGTGACGGGGGAATGGCAGACGGACGTTTTGGTTGAGTGGACGCGTGAGTTCTTGATGAGAGACGAGAATTGCATGTCCCGCCCGCCAGATGCAAATACGGCGCTGTCCGCCCCAGTGGGGCAGAGGCCAATGACTGAAGTCCTTGGGGCATGTAATACAATTCCTTTCTGCCCATGTGGCCGTGCAGTGATGGGCGTGTGGAGGCGACGAAACGGCAGGTGATCGCAAGCCCAACGCTGCCTTGTGGGTCGGTTTCTCAGGGTCGCTTTGCGATTTGTGTGACCCTCACTCAGAATACGTGGGATTGAGTGCTGTAATTCGGTGTGCGTTGGTGCTCGCGGCGGGTGCCACTCATGATGGAGCGCCGAGGGTGACGATGGTGAAGGGGAACGTGCATAACAAGGTGATTGCGGGTTGCAAAGAGTGACGGCATCAATCGCTCTGCCGTGATGGGCGTGGCGCCATCAGCACTTAGTGAGTGGCTTTGCCATCTTTTGTCGCGACTTGGGGGTGGCGTGGCTGCAAACACTTGATTTTTTATACAGGTGCAAAGGTGGAACACCGGTCAGGGAGGCGTGGGCGTTGCCCTAGTGTATTTGACCGGGTTTTGATAGGGTGCGGCGAGTCATTTCCGCCAGATACCTGGAGTGGTTGAGAGGGCAGGTGAGAGCGCGCACTGAAGGGGAAGACATGCAAGTCCTGTCGGACGCAGTGGTCATCAATGCCCGAGCCCAAGTTTTTGGCTTTCATTTGCGTTAGCTCTGATGATCATGCCATCGTTTAGTGGATGATGCTGGGCGTGGTTTTAACAGCCGTCTGGTGTCGGGTCACCCAACACCCAACTTGGGTGTGCCGTCTCCTTGGGAGGCCAGTGTCCCGGGTTAATGGCGGCAGCAGTGGTGAATTGTCGATGCGCATTGCCGATCTATGCACGCGAGCGCCATGGAGGCAATTCAGCATACGTGGCAGTGTTTGGTGTTCCGCAGTGGCTTCATCGGGTGGAGGTTGTTGCTCCTTGCCCCTTACCCCTTGCTCATTTCCATTGTGGTGCATTGTGTTGCACTTTTGCAACAAGAAAGCCTGCACATGTGGGGCATAACCGACGTTGTGCTGCGTTACAGAAGGCAGGGGCCTGCCACATAGGTTGGACTGAACCGTCGGGCGTCTTTGCACCACCGCCACGGTTAGGAGTTGCCCCTGGTCGAGCGAAGTGGCATTTGGGCAGCACGGCCCCACACACGTGGCTAAAGAAATGGAATGCGCCCAGCCAGCGACGCCCTAAAGAGCAGAACAGGCACAACTTACAGTCGCAACAGCATATGAGCTATTTACATCATTCATCTACATCTTCGAGCCAGTGCCGCACGGAAGCAAGTTTCTCAACATTGGTTCAGGTCGCAAAAGGGAAGAACAAAGGTTCACCAACATGATTACGCTCCTTGCCATTATTCCTGCTGGGGGCCCGCAGGCCGCTTTGGCACTGCTCGTCCACTACCCGTCACAACCCGCGAGCAAAAGGGATGGGTGCGTCTACTTCTACAATGGCTTGCTGTACACCCCGCATCCATTTGTGCACTTCCCCTCCAATGGTCTCGAGCCCGCATGAACTGCGCTTATGTACACCACTTTTCCACATCCGGGAAGCAAATGCACCTCCGAACACTGGACAGCCCGCCCCCCCATAGCCAGGCCATACACGAGCAACATCTTACCCCTGGTCTTGATATGCCAGACCCACCCCCGCAGCAGGCAATGGACGTCATTCGGGAACCACATTTTATCCCAAGCTACCCCCCCTGCCACAGGCGCCAGTCACAACCGTCGATTTTTCTGTGGCAGCAACTCAAAACACTCCGGCCTGCACCAAAACCTGGAGGGGCACGTCGACAGTTCCTTCAACACCTCCCACTGCCCAACACTTGCAAGATGTCATCCCAGTTGGACTTGACGCCGCCTGCCTTGACGGGCGGCGCCTCATTCTCCATCGCGTACTCCCGCAGCTCTTCCATGTCCCGCGTGTCGTTGGCATTGTTCATCATGAGCGTCCGCAGCGCCCCCCACTGCGACTCGTTGATGGGCTTGCGGGGGTCGCTGAACAAACGCCGCACCTGGTTTGTCTTGAATGCAGTCGCTGCGTCTCTCAACTCCTTCTTCGACGGGTGCGCGTCCTTCACCAGGAGGTCCTTAAGGAAGCTCCAGTGCGGGTGGGATCTGATCCTCGTGTCCTCGAAGAACAGTGTGCGGAAGATGTTCCAGTTGGGCCCCTCTGGAACCCCCTTGATCCGTGCAGCGAAGTCGCGCAGCTCGTGCCACTCAGGTCCCAGGTCGTCGTCGCCCGTGAGCCACTCCTTGAGGAAGTGCCACTTCTCAGGGGAGGGTGGATCCGTGTCCACAATCAGCAGATCCTTCACCTTCTTCCAGTGTTTCGAGACACCCCCCTTCTTCTGTAGCTTCCTTTTGGGGGGGGCTGGTGTTGCGGGCGCCGACTCCATTCCACCCTGAGACGTCGGATGATCGGCGTCAGAAGACCCAGACGACGACAGCTTGTCCTTGAGCAAGTCCTCCAGAAATTCCCAGCGATTGGCAATCGCCGAACCCTCCTCCGTCTTCAAGACCTGCCTGAGGATGCCCCAGCCGGTGGACACCTGTGGCGCATCTTCCGCCTTTGGCGGCACCGGATGCTTGGAACGGGCAACGTCGCCCGAGGACGACGTCGCTGACTCCTCAATGGTCGGCGTGCGGGGCTCAGGAGGTGGAGAGTCGGAGGCGGACTGGTCACCGAAGCTCGGCCTTGGCGATGGGTGCTGCGTCTCCCCGCCGTCGCCATCCATTCCCAAAGCTTCCTGCAGCACTTGCCAGCCAGGGTGCAAAGGTTGCTGTGCTTTTGGCCGTTCATCCATCTCCCCAAGTAGCATGCCCCTCAATTCCCCCCACCGCTTTGAAGTTTTCTTCCCTGGGGCCTTCCCAGTCTTGTCGCCCTCAGGAAGCTTCTCCTGTGCCCCTGCCTCCGATTGCCCCTCCGCCCCGCTGGCCAGAACAGCATCACCTGGACTAGCCCCAGCCCCTGCCGCATTCTCCTTCACAACAGACCTCAAAAAATCCCAGCCTGGATGTGCTGGGTACACATCCTCAGTGCACATCAAATCCCTCACAATTCCCCACTTGCCCGATGTTTTTCGCTTCAGCGGCGACCGTGGGGGCCGGCCTGAAGCCTTCGCTCTTGACGCACGTTTCTGTGACTGCTCAATCGCCTCCTGTATCGCCTCTTCTGTGATGCCGCTGCCTTCGCTCTGCAGCACTTCCTTGACAACCTGCCAGCCCTTGTGCCAGCCCTTGGGCTTGATGTCCTCACCCAGAACGCTCTGCACCACCCTCCACTTGGAACCCTTCTTAAGCGTTTTTGGCTCGCCCTTCCCCAGGGGCGAACCCATCGTGACAGACCCAGGAACTTCTGGCATATCCTTGTCACTCAGGCTCAAGCTGACACCGTCCTGAGACTCCCCTTCACTTGCTCCATCTGGATGTGCACCGAGGCTCGGTGCATCCATCAACAGGTGCATGAGGGTCGTCCAGTTCTCGGAATGTCCCTCCTCCTTCCTCTCAGTGGCGAATAACTCCCTTAGAGACTGCCAACACCTCTGGCCAGTGCTGGCACTGCGTCGCAGCCTTGAGGCTATGTCAGCATTGCCAGTGTCAAGGTGCTTCGGAATGCCACAAGGTTCAGGCTCTGGAGGACTTGGGGGTCCACCAGCAAACGGTCCAGATGCAAAAGGTGTTGCAGAATGAACCTGGGTCCTTGGTGAATGCTGCTTGTGCACTGGCATCGGCGAAGGCATTGGGGGAACACTCTTGGCAGCATCCTGTGGCACATGGACTGTCAAGCATCCTCATAAAACGAACATGTTCACTAAAACGGCCACCGCGGCAAGGATGTGAGAGTGATGCGAAGCCTAACACCCCACTTGTGACAACATTTGAGCCTTCTCCATCAAGCTGAAAACAAGACTTCCCACTCTTGCCAGTGTTGACTTTGTCAACATCTACAAGTTTGCCTTTCGGCCTCAACAACAGAGGATTAACTGTGCTGAGTGCTGGAAGCTGCTCCCCCCTTTACAGAAACAGAACCCCACAGCATCCAGCATGGCCAGTGTGACCCTAGGAAAGAGGCGCACAAACCTTGGTGCAAGAACATGTGCCCCTACCTGAGTCTGGCTCTCCGCTCTTGCAATGTGGCCAAGGGCACCCATCATGTGCTGCAGGCGAACCACTATGTCTTGGAAACTTGGGCGTCTGCAGGGATCCTTGTCCCAACACTCCCTCATCAGCGCTAGGTAGTCTGTGTACAGGTCATCAGGCAGCGCATCCCCTGGGAGCTCCTCCTTGGGGGGAATTTGTGGCCGGAGGTCGTCCCTCAACACAAACTGCAGTATCTGGAAGGTATTCACATTGTCCTGCTCCCATGGTTGCTCCCATGTGAGTAGCTCCCACATTATGATGCCAAAGGGGTACACGTCAGAAGCAGTTGTATGGAGGTTGCTCTCTAGCACCTCCGGGGCCAACCACCGAGGGTTGTTGGCACAGACTGATGCCGTTGCCACGATAGGATCGATGAACCTGCAGTCAGGTGTATGAACATGAAATAGGTGTCTCTCCAGACATTCTTCAGGGCAAAAACAATGCACAGCTGCAACAATTGATGCCACTCTTGCCCAATCACCACTCACAACCCAAACTGCAGCATGAGTGGAAGTGTTCAAGCATGCAGCAGAGCATCACAGGCACCGACAACTACTCAAGATGCAGCACACAGTACTACACAAAAAGCAGTGACTGGATTCTTCTTCAAAAGGCAAGGGCAGCTGGCAACTGGTGTGGACAGGGACCTTTGCTGGAAGTGTCCCAGGCTCAAATGCCATGCCAGCAGCCGTCATGCCCATTCACTGACAGCCAGATGCACAACTGTGTCCAGAAACTTATGTGCCTTCCTATGTGGGTTGATCATCGCATGCGACAGTTGTACTGCCTGCGCACCAACAGGACGGACTGAAAAATCATCCCAGGATTCGCACACCACTGCCTGCGCCCTGCAGCCCCACACATTGCCGTGTTCTGGCCCCAACCAAACGTCCCAGCCCGTTTCCCCTGGTGCACACCTCCCTTGCCCGCTGGGCACAATACGGCACGCACACTGCTGACAATGCGCCCAGAGTCAACGGTCAAACCTTTGTTTCCTTTCCATGTTTCCAGTGTTCCCCGGTGCGTTGTGGCTCAGCGCGCACAGTGATAAAAGAGCCGGCTTGATGTTAGTTCAAATCCACGCAGTGGCAAACTGAAGGGCCCTCCCCCCGCCCCCCGAAACCACTGCCTCCGTCCCGACGCCCGCCCCCGCGCGGCCGCGGCACTCACTTCGATGTGTTGAAGTCGGCCACCTTCACGCCCCAGTGCTCGTCCACCAGCAGGTTCGGGCTCTTCAGGTCTCTGTGCTCCACCGTGGGTATGTGACAGTGCAGGTAGTTCATCCCCTTGGCGGCGTCCAGCGCCATGCCCATCCGCCGCTTCCACGTCAGCCGCTTGCCGTTGGCCTCCGGCCGCTCCTTGGCCCGCGCCAGCACGTCGAACAGCGACCCGCGGGCGCAGTACTCCGTCACGATGCATGGCGGGTCCAGGCAGACGCCCAGGAACATCACCACCTTCTGAAACCTCAGCGTGCGCAGGACGGAGACCTCCTTTTCTAGCGCCAGCAGGTTGCCGGCGATCGTCGAGGCGTCCGCGTCGCCGCTGGCGCCGGGCCCGGTCTCTAACCGGGGCTCGGGGGCGCTCTCGCCCAAGGCGTCCACCACGTTGCGCACGGTGAGCTCCTTGATCGCCACGTCCTGCTCGTAGAGGATGCCCTTGAAGACGCGGCCGAAGCTGCCCTGGCCGATCTGGCGCACGAAGATGAGCTGGGACTTGGGGATGAAGGGCGTGTCCCAGAGGGCAGGGAAGGCGTGGAGGATGTCGGAGGGGCTGCGGCTGAGGGAGGAGAAGGACAGCATCTGGGACAGCACCTGCGGGTCGACCCCGTGGAAGGGGCTGGCCGCGGCGGCCTGCAGGGACTCCTCGCGGGTGGGCATGGCGCCTGGGGCGGTCACACGGGCTCAGTCAGATGCCGCCATCGCCGGCGACGACCCGCGGGCACCCACACGTAAGCACGGATTCCGGAAATCGGGCGACATCCGATCGCCGCGCCGTCGAGCGGGGGCGCGGGGCCTTCGCGCGGCACCCGACGGCGCCGGCATGGGCGCGTGCCCGGAGGGGTTCGCCCTTCCCGGGACACGCGTCCTTCCGCCCCACTTTCCAGCTCCATCAAAAAGCCGAAAGCCGCGTTTCAGCCACCCGACCATCCGCAAGTCGCGCCGTCATTTTTCCGCGGCATCCGGCTCCGGTCGGCCGAGGGCGGTCGGCGAATAAATGCGCACGACAGGGCCCCCGCTCACCCTTGCCCACGCCGCCTCCGGCCATCCGCTCGGCGGGCACCATGTCGAGTCCTGAGCCCTTCCGGGCAACCCGGCGCTGCGGTCAGGGCGCCCAGGCCAGCGGGGCGGTGGGGCGCAACTCACAGCGCCAGCGGGCGGGCCTGCTGGAGAGCGCTCGCGACACCTCGGTATGTGTGCGTGCCAGGGCGTGCGCTGGCCCTGTCGCGTCGACGCCCTTCCCTGGGGGCGGCATGCTCATCGTACCGGCACCGGTTACTCACTCGGGGGGAGATTGAGCGTTAGATGCGCTTTCTCACTCGTGCTCCGAAGGTGTTCCTGGTCGGCGGGAAGAGGGGGGAAGTCGTTCGGAGGCCACAGTCGCGCCCAACGCAGGCCAGGTGGGTGCTGGGGATGCAGGGACCAGGAAGGCAGCTACCAGGAGCTGGAGTGATGCCCGTGTGTCCGTGCCCCTGGGCGTTTGGCGTTCTCAAAGACGGTACCGTTTGTGTCACGGTCCCCGAGCAGCGGAAGCTGCAGGTGGTAAGTTGGCGTCCCTGATGGGCACATGTTCACACCGAGCGCAGAATTCTGGGCGTGGCGCCATTACCAATTGGCGGTCAGGGAGGCGGAGGGCGCTTTCGATCATGCTGATAATAATATGTCAAAGGTTGGGAGTCGGCCTCCATCTGTCCGGGACTTGGGGCACGTTGCCATAACTACTAAATCTCCCTCGGAGGTGTGGGAGTTGCTGAAGGCCAGAGCAACAACAACATGTCCAAACTCAAGTGTCCAGATCTGGACGTCGGAGGACGTCGTGCTGTCGACCCTTGGAAAGAACTGGAACTTTCCGTTTGCTGTTATATAGAACACGTAAAATTCACTTGAGTAAACGCCACGCCCGGCCTGAGTCGGTACTGGGGAAGTCTGTGCCTGCTCAACGATGCCTTCATTTCGTGTCCCACCACAACTATTCCACATACTGGGGAAGACAACACGTCCAACACTGTAGGAATCAGCTTATCCATTTTTTTGCGCATTTTTAAAGCCATTGGTCTTTGAAAGAATTGAGAACAGAACAAATGTTGCACGGCGCATTCCATCTCCTTTGTGCCAAAAGAGAAGACGATGCGCCCATTACTCGAGGCAGAATGGCGTTCTCGCATGTTCAGGAAGCCAGCAACGAGTTCTGCATGGAAAGCCGCGTTGTCAATGGTGAGTCTATAAAAGGAACAAGGATGGAAAAACTACCCCTGTTCCAAAAGTGTTGTCCGTTATCCAAATCATGCAGATGGAGGTCAAAACGTGCGTGTCCAAAATTCTACTGATACAACTTCAACCCGCCATGTTGATAGCTATCTGTAGAGCCCCTAAATGCGGAAAACGGTGATGCCGTTCTTGAGATATGCAAGAGGAGCACAGGCGCAACTCTTCCTGTTATCAGGACCTAGAGCGGGGTGGGGGGAGCTAGTCTTGCCCTTTGAGGGAGGTGGATTGAGTTGAGTCGTCTCTGGGAAATGTGAATGGCCTGGTGGTTTGGTATACAATGAAGATTCGGTTAAATTCAAAACTGAATCCACAGAGCAAAAGACGAAGGCTTGCCGCAGATTTTTGGATGTCAACAGTACTTGTGCGTGTGTTGTGGCTGAAGGCCTCAAGACACATAGATTAGTGCAATAGCATTGACCTAACCGGTGCAACAAGGTTAGAAAGGCTGTGCATACTGATGCTAGCCCAGGAACGGCTTAGGTTGATGGGAACATGGCGAATCGTTGAAATTGACAATTTTCAAGGCATGAGTCAACATAAGAGAAGGTGCACAGAGAGTTTGGCTGCGATGATGCCACATTCTGGAAAGTTTGTGGCATTGCCTATTTATTGCCTGCAACACAGCTCTTGAATAATTTGGGGAAATAGGCTAACACACATGGGGATAAGACGAGCACAAAACTATGGGAATCGAGACCCTGACGAAGGTGCATAGGGACGCTTTCGATTTGGCTGTGCAGGTCTTGATGTGTGATGATGACTAATGTAACCAAGATCCCCATTAACCCCCAACCTACCAAGGAATCAGATTCTGGTGATAGTTTTACTAATTGAGTTGATATTGCAACAAGATATGGCAACATTCGACAACGGACAAGACTTATGAAACGGATGTAATATTATGGCGGGCCATTGAACGCACTGAAGGCTTGGCGAAGTCTATTTATGGCGGACCTCTGTACTGTCGATCGGACACACAGGCACTGCACCTGGAAAGGTGTCCTTTTGCACATGGATATATTGGGGATTGGTCATGGTTGCAGCTCTTGGTTATTAATGAAGCACTTGACCTCAGAATTTCATCAATCGTCGCGCATCTTTCGTGCTTCATGGGGGGATTGACAATCTTTCGGTGCACATTGTTATTGCATACAAATGTGCCCAGTGCTGGGGGCTTCGAGCTCCAGCCTCTTTTCAAGATTCGGACCTTCCTCTCCTTCCTGATCGTCTGTGGCGCCGACTTAGTCAGCGTGGGGGGGACGCCTGAGATATTCGTCTGCATTCTGGGAATGCATAGTATGAAGCTGACAACCGCCTGTCGTCGCCATTGCAGATACAACGGCCTCGTTTGTTGATGAGAAATTGGCAACAGAAAGTAGTTTAGCCAAAAGCGAGGCCGGCCATGGATGCAACACTCCTGCCTGCCTTTCTCTGCTTTTCTCCCCCCGAACACCCACCCCCCCACCCACCCACCCCATGTCAGTGTTCCAATCTGAAGATGTCGACCACACTCAATACGAAGACCGCGCCAAGGCACAAAGTGATCAATGCTCCAGCTGCAAGTGGGAACACCTTCTCGTCGAAATAGCCAATCTGCAGCGACACCACAGATGCAGTTGCGCAAAACTCGATGACAGCAATGCTTCAGTGCATCAAGGATCGCCAATTGCTACCATAAGCAAAATTGGAACCAGCTTTGGGTCGTTCATAAACGTGCAGCCCAACCGGTTCAGAAGGGAAGCTGGACAGCGACATCCGCATGTTGCTGTCATCCATCAAATGCTCTACTGTAGCCTGGCAATCTTCAGCCCTTTAGGTTCAAAATGAAGATCAAAAGACGATATTAAGGTCACGATTGCGCGGTTGCCAAAATTCCCTGCATAGCGGTGAATGCTTGAGGCATTGGTTTGTCCATTTTAATAAAAGCAATCAAAGCAAGAACACACAAATTTACGTCACTGCTTGTCAGGGTCGAATTTCTCTAAAAGTGATGCGTCACATTCTCATGCTGGGCATTTTCTCCACCAGCTCCTTCTATACTGCAACAAAATAGAACAGGGATGAGCCGTTGCCCGTCAGGGCCACCATGGACCTTTTTTTCCCTCTGGATGGTGACAGCAGTCGTTACATGTCAAAGGTACTACGATGGGCCTTGATAAGGATCAGTTGTTGCCTGCTTGGGGCCCACATCAGGGGCATTATGGAAGATTTTAGCTAGAACCGGCCGTCACCCATCGGGAACACTGGAGATTGCCGTTGGACTGGACCTGCTGTCAGCCATCAGGGGCAGCAGATCTGGTCATCTGGACGCGGTTCACTGGGAATGTTACAGATTCAGCGTCAAGGTTGCTAATTTTCTCTCCCACCCTCTGTAGTTTTCCTACCAGCACACCATTTCGTTGTGGTGCTGTTCCTTTTCCTTTGCCAACGCACTGTCAGTTGTGGGTAGTTCTATCATTTCCTGATTGTCCATGGATGTTGCATTCTTCATACTGCTACACAGTGCACACAATAATGCCTTCTTTGTGCAGATGCCCACTGAATGCATGTCTGTTGCTGTTGGTGCAAGCATCCTGTTTTCGATCTCATTACTGTCAACTGTGGCACCTAGATTGCACAATGCAGTTTCCAGACGTTCATATACAACACAAAGACACAAACACACTTACCTGGCAATTGAGCATGTCTTCCCTCCTTTTCCAGAACATGTATGTTGCGTAGATGATCATGAACAACGCTAGCGGAACCATCGCCATGGTCACGATGTCCACTGTGCGTGTGTTGATCACTGACTCCACTAATTGCTGTTGCGGGCCACTGCTCTGGGTGACCGTGTACTGAAGGGAGAGGAGGGCAGATGACAGGCCCGCCAGGGTGACTGCCATTTGAACCCAGGCCATGAACGTCCGTTCATTAGCTGAACAGTAGTCACAATAATCAGCCAATTTGACAACCACAATGGCAATTAATCCACAAAGGCAACCAATCAGCTCTTGCAATCGATTCCCCAGAGTGAAGACAAGCAGTTCAAAACTGTTGCACTCATTGGAATACATTGCTCCAGGCTATTCTTGGTGCAGGGGCTTATTTGATGAGGAACTGCTCTCCCTTACCAATGCTCCCGTCAGATAAGATTGAATTTCAGCATTTTTCGCACTGCAAAGCTTGCCACTGCCAACACCCGATCGACATCACAAAAGGACAGCTCTGCACAGCAGAAGGTCACTGATACCATATTTATGACTGCTTGAGATGTTGCCATTTATTGTAAATAGAAGTGCCAATAGCAGCTCCAATAATTTGTTTCAGCATCTCCAGGTGTCGCTGTGACCATGGAAACAAGGAGCAACAAAGAAGCCTTCCCAGTACAATGCCCTGCTGAGAAAAAATTGAGCCACAAAGTGGTGGAGGGCAACAATTTCCAGTCCAGAGTTAAGGCAACATATATTGCTGGGCTGCAACTCTGCTGTGTGCATTGCTCTGCGTTGCTTTTTGTGCCAACGTAACTGCTGACAGTATCAGTAACAAGAAATGGCAATTCACATAACTTAGTCTTCTGTGCACATGCAGCCACAGACCCCTCACTGATTTTCTATGCAGCTGCAGGTGCAGAGAAAACCAGTGCAGAGACGGTGGCTGCATGTGCATAGAAGGCAAAGATATGTGAATTAATATTCTGTCATTTCATTGTCTCGACCATAACCTTGTTCCCATCCTGTGCTCCTAGCTCAGCTTGCTGTGTCCTTTTCAACAAACACTGTTCGGGTTGCTGAGAAGCCTGACCATATCGCTGTATCGCTGTATCGCTGTATCGGAATGCAAGGCATCAATACTACAAACACAAGCGTCACTGCGGCACCCACAGAAATGAGTCTTGGGCTCCACCCGCAAGGGCACCTTCCTCGGAACTAGTCGCTTGGGGCCTCTGACGCCCCGGTGCTTGGCCCACAAACTGCCAGAGGCATTTGCCAATTTTGTGCCTGCAGCGCGTGCGTCGTTGAGCTCAGAGATCTGCTCCATGGGTCAGCCTTCGACACTCCACAGAGGACAACGAACCCACCACAAAACAGCTGGGATGCTGATTTTAGTCAGTCTAGCGATGGGAGGCCCCGACTGTGGGCGGACCAAAAACCTGCACCTCCGAGCCCCAGTAAACAGCTCCCTCGCGCCCACAGGGACCATTCTCAACATGTTGCCACAGAAGCACGCAGTACTGCACTCTCTTGAAGGACTGCGACGCCGCTCGGTCCAACGGCGGGTCGCCCTGGGAGAAGCGCGTAACTGCCCTCTAAGCCGTCACGCGCATGGCGGAGGCTCAGCTAGGTGAATCGCAGGCACCGCGGCCTCGGAGCGGCTGTCTGCCGCAATGGTCTCGTTTCTGGCGAACAGCGGACGGCGCACATGACGACTCGCGTCCGACCGCGGCGCCCACAAATCCTTGAGGAGACCCTCTAGGACCGCAGAAGACGACGTCCTGAAGCCCTCTGTTTGAATCTACCGATGGTCAAGCCGACCCGCGGGCGGCCTTGCGGTGCCGCGCACCCCGACCGTATGTTACCGCGACGGAATCGGACTCGAACAGCGACGGACCGCAACCAAGGAAGCCTTTGGCATCAAGCCCCGTGGCGGCAGCCGCGCTAGATCGTCGATCCGACGCCGCCCGGTGCGAGGGCGGTCTCAAATCCGCGTCAAGAGATTGAGGCAAAATCCCGCTCCCCGCTCACGCCGACGAGTAAAGTGGCGCCGTTTGGCGCGGAGATCTTACTCCGGAGGACTTTCGTTCCTGAGACGGGAGGTCGCGGCGGCTTGGCCACGGTGCCCGGCGCTGACATGCTCGTTGACTGCCTCCACCGCTGGGCGCGCCGCAGTCCCCCGTTGCACTCTTGCTCGAAACAAGCTGCGAAACGAACCTCAGCCGTTTAGTCATCATAGCGATCACTCATCGCGCTTTGTGTTTTGACACCTCCATGTCCAACCCGGTTCCTTGCTTAGATCAACATGTACTACATTGGAATTCAAAAAAAAAGGATTCCAGGTGTGACGACACTGTGCTCCGCGTGGAGCCTTTGCCAAGGTGAAATGTCCAAATTGGAACTCTTCACAGTTGTCCGGGACTCAGAGGCACGAAGCGCAAAGCCTAAAAGCAGTACAAAGTCTCTGCAGGGCTGCAGTCAGGCCTTGCTTCTGGCAACCAGAATCCACTCAGAGGTTTTTTCCAACGTGTATCCGCCAAGCACCAAACTCGAGAATATGTTAGTCCTTCCGTCTTTTCTGGGAAGAACCCTTGTGCTGATAAGGCCAACGCCAGTCAGTTTGGTCAGTGGTTTACGGTTTAGGGTGTCCGAAACGAGAAGGGATCTTTACGGAAAAGACAGAGGGACCGATTTCATGGCACCAAACTTACCAGCCAACTCGTCAACATGTCCCCAGCACATCGGGCAAATTGCAACAACGGGAACAAAGCCAACAATAGCACACACGGTGGCAGAGACTCCTCTCACCGCCATGGAGTGAAGCACTACGCTGCACTTGCTCGCGTTGGGCGATGTCTGCTTGGGCTTTGGAAGCAACGAGCGGATGCACCACGATGGAAATGACCCAAGTGAATGCGATGGCGACCTGCGACTGAACGCATCCTTGAAGGAGCGCCCATGGCTGGAGCAATAGGATTGGGTAGACTTGCAAGTTGTCAGCATGGACACCCTTCAGAGGTGCACCGGGCCGCTGGGAGGGTGGTTGTGGCTCCCTGTGACCGCGTTCGCGTGCACTGGTGTTGGAAGATCAAGTGCACTCGGCCAACGTCCTCGTACCCCTAGGACATTCACAAACATTGTCAATGGCAGATGGGACCTGCAAAGACGAAACTGGGAGCCTGGACGACCTCAAATGGCCATGTCAAGTATCAATGAGACCAAAACGACAGTCGTGGACATGGTACTGACAATGCACTCTCTTCTCTGAAGAACGCCAGCCAATGAGTTGGCGTGCTGGTTTGAGCTCCAGTTCGCACAATCATGCAGGCCACGTGATTTTCTGGCTGATTTCAGCCAGTTCGACCAGCAACTTCAGGGTGATCCTGGTCCTCATAGCAGGCGAACCTCCAGGGAATCTTCAACTCTCAAGTGAGTAAATGGCCAAATAGACAGGCATCTTTCTCAATTTTCGAACCCCAAGCATCCTCCCCAAGAGCCCGTAAACGGTTGCCAAGATGGAAGCCAAGATACCTGCTCTCCAAACCATGTCCACCAACATAATGAGCAGCCTTGATCCCAGGTAGGAGATCTGCAGATTTGTGCCCATGGCAGGTCGTGTGTGAGCGGCTGGAAGCAGTGAACGTGCCCTGCTCACCTGCCCTACCCTCCAGACCAACTCCTTCCGCCACCATCATCTGGATGTCCGCCTCCTTTTGGCACGCCATGGCCGAGAGCCGCCCACCGCGGGGCTTCCCTCGCGCCGCTCTTCCCTGCCTCCCGCAGGCCCCGCGGCCTGGGCCCACCAGACAGGGTGCGCTTTCGTGCAAGACGTGCAGTGGGAACGCAAGCGATGTTGCCTCCGGGTGTCAGCCATAAGGGGGAAAGTACACAGGAACCCCCAGGCCTGTACGATTTCTTGAATGACTGGCACGGCACACTGTTTGCGATTTTCCATTTGCCCATTTGCTACATTTGTCGGAAGCGGCATACGGTATACGGTATACGGTGCGCCGTATCGGGTCGATAGAGTACACTACCGTGGAAGTCTGTGTCGACTGTTTCATATTTACCTTCCATATCCATGATTAGCGAGCCATGGCTGGAAGCTTCTGTTGACCGTGTTGGAACTTTCAACTTGAAAGCGTTTTAAGTCGCTTGGAATATGTGACTTGAATTCATATCCTAAATTCGCATTTCCAAACCTGCACAACATTGAATATCAGACTCGACTGACATTTAAGACTCGGAACTTTAAATGTTGTGCAGAGCAAAGGCGCAACGCCCGTTCGGCCGCTGATGACCCTGGGAGCTGGGCCGTCCCAAAACGGGTACGAGAGCCCCAAACGTTGGCTGGCGCACACAAAGCGTCGCAGACGCTCAGGGCTCGTGTGCCCAAAGGCACAGAGGCCTCCCTGCTTAGCGACAACCAAAGCCTGATGTATGACTAACGCTTGGTCACAACCCAGCTAAATGGTTTACAGGCATGTCGGGTGTGTCACACGTGGTGAATCTCTTCAGCGCCCATGGAGCTCTGGGCGCATCAACATAAGATGGCGCCTTCCCTTAACCCTCTATTTATAGCTCATTTATCAGCAGAAAAGCGTGAGGCCAACCACACCATTTCTGGCCAAGTGACTTGTAATTGTTTGCACACTTTCAAAGTGTACAAATTGTACAAAGTCATGTTCACTCCAATTGCGTTGACAGCAACTTGCAGACACGTATTGGCGTCAAATCCTCCCATGCAGTTTTTCCTGTTGTGAGCCTCCAGAGGCAGACCCATTCCACATATCACCGGAGTCATCTCTTTTGGCAAGGCCAACCCATGCTCGTTTGCAAAGAGCACATGCTGTCAAAGGGCTCTTTTCAAATGCAAATATGAATGAATGAGAAGTGAAACAAGTTCAGTGCAGTAAACGAATAAAACGCATTTCCACTCAAAGGCAACCATGTTTGGCGTTGGTTCACGAAGCCTGTCCTTCTAAAGTTTCGTCGGCGGCTACAATCATAAATTGGACACCGTTTTGCTGCTCTTTGTGATGATGGACGGAAGTGGCTTCGCCAGTCGCCAAAGTGCCTTACTGAGTCCATCGTTGACACGTCGATCGAGACGCTTGAATCTTCGAGATTCTCATGGATACCGGCGATTCTAGAATGAACGCAACCCACTATCCAGCAGTGGATGGTACGGCACCCTCACCGTTGGTGCGAGCATTGTCGAGGGACGGCATGACAGGGTGGCCAGCGATGCATCACTTCATGCTGAAGGAAGCAAGCACACAAGCTGACAGTCTTTCCGTTTCGAAAGGCTGTCCCCCGGCCTTACTGGCTGTACTCTGGGATCTCGAGGTTTAACTAGGGTTGTGATACAAAGCTCGCGTTCTGTTGAACTAGAGCCGCCTTGAGACATAACAAATGGCTGTGGTAATCGAGGCCGTGCACATCAGAGAAAACGTCAAGGTAGCGTCGCCTTGGCCGCGTGACAGAGCAAGTCTTGCTCTGTCTTAGACCCGATGATAAAAAATCTCATTCGACACCACTGTCCATATGTTTATCGGGGATGCATTGATGCAAATGTTTGTGATTGATACCATCCGCGTGTCAGCAATGCACCATGCATTGCACAAGCTGTTGCAGTTGCTACATGCAACAGAATTAAGTCGCGCAGTCTCAGTCACTATTTTGTGAGCTGTTTCCGGATAGAATGAGATCAATTAATCATGAATTTAAGTCTTCATTGTGCTCATCACACCGGCGAAATCATGCGCAAAATATTGAAGCCTCTTAACTGCCAAACGTCTATTACCCGTGCGAGAGCGCAACAATGTGCCGCATCATAGGTCCAACCGACCTGGGGGTCAAATTCGCACATATTGCAGCTTCGTCTTTGCTCACGAATTGCACCTGGTGCCAGCTTTTGCATTCCACACTCAGCTCCCTCCAATGCCACTTCCCCTATTTCTCATTGAACTGCTTCCTCTGGGTAAGCCACCAACTTTTTGCCTCTGTATCAATCCCAATTACAACCCTGTTGTTCTAATCTGCATCCCACCAGATGGGGCTGCAACTCCTAGAATGCGGTCCTGGATATAGCAACTACGCCGCTTTGCGTGTGAAAGCGAAGAGCACCTTTTAGGTCATCCGTGGGCCCGGCCAACTCCAATACGGGCTTCCCTTCGTCTTACATTGGAACTTGAGCCCCATGTTTCCCCGGGCAAACGTTGCAAGATGAATTTTCCCATGTTCGCGGTTGCCTATATGAACGCCAGAGCACATGTCTCAACTCCAGAGCCTACGCCCCCACCAGAATCTAAAGGAGTCAACGAAAATTTCAACACACCGCCCAATTTTGCTTTCACCAAAAGTGCAGCGGCGCGTGACAAAGAGGGCAGCAGGTGCGACCCTTCACCTCCGCGGCGATCATCGGGTGTCGGCAGACCTTGCACCGAAGGGTGTTGTGGTCGCGCAGCAGCTTGCCTGATGCCACGCAGACCTGCTCTTTGGACCGGTGCAAGCCCTCCAGGAAGTCATGCCGCCCCTTCCTGGCGCCCTGAGCCTCGCGCAGCGTTCGAGGGTCGTTTGGCGCGTGCTTCGTGAAGACGGACATGGCGAAGTCGCTGTACTGCTCCCGCTTCTCTGCAGGTATGCTTTCCATGGACTCGAGCTTGACGAGGGCCTGAAGTTAAGGCGAGCGCCCAATCAGTGCCACCATGCTGCTCACGGCCATCTACATTGCCGTTGGTTCCAGCGACGGTGGACATTAGGACATCCGATTATGACAAAGGACGTTGACTCCAGGCGTCTTGGGCGCAAGCCGTGCCTACCGCAAGGCCGTGCATTTCTCAGCCATGTATGGGCGATACTTCATTTCAGAGTTCTCGATTCGCTCCAAAACCACATGGACCATTTGCGTTGTGCCTTGGCATTCCGCGCCTTTCGACTTCGAGTCTTGCCAACTCCTCCAGTGCCAAGTGTCATGCACTTTGTCGAAAGGCCAGTAGCGAAAACGCGCTCCCCGCCACCTCCACCCGGGAACCGCAACCCCCGCCCCTCCCACTAACCTTAGAACACTGCCCGAAGAACTGGCACTGGAAAGACGCCAGAGCCAGGAAAGCGTATATGTCGTGCGGGTCGATCAGGTCATCGTACTTCCTGAGGTGCAAAGCAGTGCGCATGGCAGCCTCCGCGCCGCCACCTTGCAGTTGGCGATGCGCCAGCATCCAAAAATGGTACGCCTCGGCCGCGTGCCAGGCGTCGTCGAACGCCTGGCCCTGCTTGTCCATGCTGGCCGCGTCCATCGTCATCAAACCTGACAGGGAAAACGTGTGCCTCAGTGGCGTTCCGCTGCAGTTGCGCCGCTTCTTTGTATCGGTTGTCCCAAAGAGGGCAGGATCGACGCAGTTCTCAAGTAATGTTATTGGTGTGATCAATCAGTATTGATTAGCATTTGCCCAATTCCAGGCATTGATTACTCGACAACTGACAGCCCGACGCATTAATTACTAAGTTCTTTCATTTCGAAAATCAAAATTTATAAGCAATTGCTCAGTTCGACGCATTAATTGCTAGACAATTGATTGCTCAATTCGGCTCATGAATGTTAAGCATCACTGCGAAGGTCTCAGTTGTATTTAAGCTTCCTAATTGCCATGATTCAGCTACCATTGTTTCCAAATATATCAGCTGCATTGCACAATACGGCTGTTGTTTGCTGGCCCGATTCGATATTTAGATGTCAAAAAGTTGGCTAATTCGCGTGAAAGGGTTGAAAATATGGATGCAATTGCATCGCAAGAATGCCACCCTATACTTTCCCGCACATGTTGCTGCATCAGAATTTGGGCCATTTCATGATCTGGTGACTATTCGCGTTGCTGAAGTGACTCAGACCCGTTGATGGCAACATACAAGGGGGTTGCAAATCCATATTGATTGCATTCTCGGGACTGCAAAGAACTGTTTTAAATCAGAGTGTGCCAAATAACTGCTCTTTTGCCTGCAATCACTCACATTAAGCGGAAACACGTCTGCACCAGCAGCGCACGCAGTTGTCTGCAATTCTGTATACATGCGCCCTGTGTGTATCTGTATATCATAAACATGGATGCTTCAGGTTGCAGCGAGATGAACAAAAAGAAGGTTGAAGAACATTATTGGAAAAAACCATTGCCTTGCTGACAGCTTGGCATGCTTTGCCGACAGTCTTCTGTTCAGTCGCCTCACCCGCCAGTGTCTGCTGCGATGTTGGCTGAGCGGTGGCGGATCCTGCAACCAGCGCTGACAGGCCCTCTGGCTGCTCCAAGGCACGTTTTCTGAAGTTCTCGACCTCCACGGCGGCCAGCACGTACAGCTTTTTGATGACCAAAGGTCCAGCCTGTGCAGAAGGCCTCGCATTACATTGTTCGTTCCAACGCATGGTGAAACAAAGCACTTGGAAGGTGAAGCGGAAATCTACCAATTACGCTTAATTGAATCAACCGGGAAGATCGCGAGTTTTGCACGAAGTTACCAATTTCTTTCGGTGCGCTTGGAATTATGAACTTTGAAAATTGAACAAATGCAACTAGGGAAAAAGGAAATATTTCTCTTCGCCTACGACCGTCTGCATGCTTCACGGGCTTTGCTTGCTGTGCACGCTGGCCCCACTATTGCTCGCAGAATTTATGATTCAATGGCAGCATTTGGCCACCTTGTTTCGGGAGGACTGCTGCGCCAAATCCGTCAGGATCTTCGCCGCCTCCATGTGCCGATTCGCCTTCATATAAAGCTCCACTGCATCAACCATCCGCCCGCCCTCGATCAGCCTGTTGGCGTACTTGGACAGCAGCTGCTCGATCTGCGGAAAATTTTCCTTTGCCGCCACTTCCACGGCCTGCCGCCACTGGTTGGTCAGTATGCAGCTATCGAGCGCCCTTTTGGGGTCTCCCAGCTTGAGAGATGCAGCCACGGCCTGTTCGCAGAGATTGAATGCTTGGAAAATTTCTCGGATCTCGAGCAGCAGGGGGGAGCCATCGGGCAGAACGTGCAGCAGCTTCTCCAAGCCCTCGTAATCCTCCAGGGCGCACAGGCACTTTACCAGCTTCTCGCTGTTTTTGGCCTACGAAGATGCCAAAAGACTTCACACAAAACGGTGGATTTTATGGAATTTTCGCACTTTAGCAGTTCTGGATGGAGTCATGCAAGATGGGACACTGGCTTCCTGGTCATTTACATCGCGCTCTGTCTATAGCGATACTGACATCAACGCCGAAGACGAGCAAGCTGTTGCAACGGTGCTCCGTAATCCACGCGGTATTGCATCAACTATGCGTTTGCCTGAAACATTGTTCCAATCACCGAACGTGGCTATCATGAGCTGATCGCAACGTGGCTCTTAGATTGGCGCTCGGATCCAAGTGAAACAAGTGACCTCTTTGTTAAAGCACCACCAAACGTCAATTGAGAAGTGAATTCGAAAAGTCACAAAACCTTCGTTGAGCTTATATACATATACATACATATACGCATATATACATATGTGTACGTGTCTGGTGTCAAAGGTAGGTGATCTCCACTGCTTCTGGCATACACTTTTCGCATTTCCTGACAATTCGCTACTGATTTAGCCGATTAGCTGCATATACGTAGCACATCGGCTAAATCAGTTGTAAGATCAGTAGTAGAAAGATACGTATCTTTCGAAGTAAGATGACGCAACCAACGTCTCATGAAAACCACTCTGGCTCTGGAAACTTCCAACGAATCACGAAACTGTCCCTAAACTTAGGGAAAAAGAATCCCCAATATCTCGTGCATTTTGCACTCCTGAGCAAGTACCAAACTGCGCTTTTACGGATCGAGTTTCCAACGCAGTCATTCATGCTGATAGCCTCATCACCTGGCTGTAGTACTGCGCGGCTTTGTACCAGTCGTGGCGGTCGAAGTAATACTCCCCTATGTTGTTCCACGCAGCCACTAGTGTGGCGTCTCCGCTGCCGCATTCCGCCACGAGCTCCTCAACGCGAAACCAGTCGCCCAATTTGAAACGCATTTCGATCGCCAGATCCGACCGATCTATGCTCAAGTATCGCCTCTCCGCCTCGTCGAATCGCTGAAAGTAGAAGTCTATTTCGGCTTTCTGGATTTCTGAATCTCTCAGGCGCTGCAGGCGATCGACGAATTGGATCCCGTGGTAGTCTTCGCATCTGAGAGCACCGCCAGAAGACGCCTCGTTTGGAAAAGAATTTGGAAGCTGGCAGCATGTGTGCGTGCCCCGGTGTGGTTGTACAACTAGCAAGATCGGATTAATGACAGCGAGCGCAACAATTCCATGTGCATGATTTCAACCAAAAAACACTTATAGGTAATTTCCAAAGGGGTAAAGGAGCCGCAAATTCCAAATGAGTCTTGTAATAGCCAACATGGGCAACTCAATCACGGATTCCATTGCATATGCGCTTTTTGATGGATGGGCGTGCGTAGCAGATTTGGCATTAAGCATCGTCAGTTCTTCTGACTTAAAAACAGATGGATCATAAACTTCTGGTGACTGTTTTGCACACCCCTTGCACCAGAATACCAGCAGCCAGTCTGTGAATTGGCAACCATTTCTTGTCTTTCTTATGAAGTTCTGCATAGTTTCGATGATATTTACACTTCTTTTGCAAAATTTAACAGAACACACTTGACCATTACAGAAAATACTGATGGCAAATAAGACGAGTTAAACCAGTCGATTCATAAATCTGGTATTCAAAATTGATCCTCTTGATTATAATTGGATGCGACCTCAAAACGGAGGTAGATTCGACACTGTCGATTTAAGTTGTTTGACGAGAAAGGGAAGGTTTGACGAGATTACCAGAACATTTCAATGTGAACCCGCTGGAGGATGGGTACTGCAATTCCATTCATAACTGCGCTGATGATTCCACCAACTTATTGATTATCAACTACTTTGTGGTATCAGTAGAATCAATATGGTCTCTCATTAATGTAGTTGCCTTGTATTCCCATCTTGAAGGATCTACCAAGGAAGCACCAAAGCAGTGCAGTAACATGGTGACATGCCCCACCTCCCGCGCTTCTGACCTCACAAATGCCTTTTCCGTTTCTTCGAAATTCAACTCGCAAAGGAAGTGCTCTGCGAGGATCCTCCACAGCCGCGGGTGAGGATTCTCTTCAACGAAAGTATGGGCATCTTCTGGCTTGGCTGACTTTAGGATTTCCCTCATATCCCTGAGGATGAATGTACCTTTAACTATGTTAGTTATATTGGATTAAAAGCCTACTTTGTGTCGGGAAAATTTGCACTGCCCCAAGCGCCCGTCAAACGACGGAGGACAAGTTGCCTTAAGCCATGTTGTTTGACACACCTCCTTCGCAATTTTGCTCATCTCCGCTCGTTGATTTGTTTAGTTAATCAGAGTGTGCAGAATTAGCAACATTTTGCATTCGTGATAACAAGAATTCGGCTGATGCACAACACAGATCCCATGAATGCAATGTTCCTGATATTATTGGATTAGCAAGCTTTCATTTGTTAAGCATCACCACCTGAGACTCCTTGCCTCGAAAGCCATGAATTCCTCCACAGGACTATCCTCGGGACTGAGCATGACCCTGTCCAAGTTAACACCATGGAGCTCCAAGTCGCGAAAGCGGCAAAGGCAGGCGTTGCAGGTTATGGGCTCCTCGGGATCCAAACCTCGAAACAAATAGATTCGGCTCTTCTCCGATATGGCGAATAGGTCCGGGCTGTCCTCGCTCCACAATATGTCGCAGACGTCCTGTATAATGGGGTGATCTAAATTTCGGTGACAAAGCAATGGAATTTGGCTGCTTTAGGTAGTTTGTAGGTACTACTATCTCCGTTGACAAATATGATGTCGGCTATCCAATTCACGCGTACGGAAGTTAAACGAGTGAGCCAGAAAATATGACACCAACGGTATTGACGCAACTTATGTGTTTCAAAATGTGTGAGTTCATGTCGCTTAATGATCGGATTGTGCCGAGCAGTTCCATTAGAATTGAGCAAACATGCATTATCATTACTGCTAACAATATTGTGTTAACGATATCGCCACTGTCACCATCATTGTTTTCAACATTGTTGCTTTAACATATTATGTAATGCGCAACTTTGATTTTATTTACGTAGAAAGCCTTCACGAAAGGATTCTGCGCATGCGACAAGATACAGTTATGCCGCTTGCCTTCCTCTCGAAATCGAGGTGATCCCCAGAGATGCTTGCATCTACATTGGAGGAGCTGGTGGTCGTGAAGTCGAAAAGTGACAAGACGCCATTGATGTCGATAATGGCCAATCTGGTAGCGTCGCAGTTGAGAGCCATTCTCCATGGTCTGAAGAAGTTGATGCACAGTGTCGTGTACTGATTTAGTTCATGGAATTGGCCTCACAATTAATTGACCTCAAATTCTTACAGCGTGCAAACCCCCCGTAGCTTTGCACATGCTATTGCAAAGATATACGTTATGGGGAATATTTCACATAGCACACAAAAATATTAATTGAAGACAACGAAGGATACTAATGGGAAGAAATATTGGAATTTAATGGAATTCTTTTTAGTTTCTTACCCTATGATATAGGTCTTGCGTGTTACGACGTACTTGAAGAAATTATGTGCGGAATCGCCTATTGTTGAGGTGACATGTCATGCATGTCATCAAAGCACACATGCTTGTATTCGCGAATTAGTTCATGTTCTTTCCCAGGCCAAGTGGCATTTACTAACAAAACCAGAGCAAAACATACACCTTTTTCATATTTTTGGATTAAAAGTACTGTGTTAAGTCAAATGCAATAAATAAATGGATAGAACTGTTTTGAACATGGCCTGATGAAGACAAGGTTGCGATTTTTAAGTCTTAGTGATTTTATCCAGATGATTGAATATGCTGCAATTATAGTATAATTCGTGTAGTACATCAGCGAAATCATAAAGCGCCATGCTTTTGCAGGCAACGATGCGCACCTGCATCTAAGAACATGCTTCCCCATGGAGGTCAGTTGTGGTAGGGAGTACCTTTGCACCACTCCCGAGGCCCTGCCCACCAGCAGGGTATTGCGATCAGCGCAAACGGAGGAAATAAGATCTTCGGAGGCCTCCCTCACGGACTCCTGTGAAGATGCACGGGGATCAAATCGTCATGTCGCTTTTCAAGTTCCATGAAATTCGCACTATTGGCCAAACTACCATCTTCAAAAAGCTGTGAGCACATCCTTGATAATCTGCAGCTATATCAAAATCGTGCCACTACAGCTGGAGTCAACTATATTCCAAGAGGCAGCCTGTAGCGCCGCACAATCTTTGCAAAGAAAGTGGAGAGCAATACAGTTGTCCGAGCGCGAAATCTGCCAGGAAATTTCCTTGAGCCTTTAAAATTTGAAACAAAATACTTCAAGCCACGAAGTAAATGAAAGGCATTGAACAGAAATACTCTTATCCTGGTGTTCCCGAACGTTCATCTTGCACGCTATTGGGACACTGAACTCCATGTCCCCTTCACATAGCGCATGTGTCAAACCCAGAATTGCGCATCATAAATTGTAGTTCGTACCGTGTTTATATCATCAACGTGGAACGTCTTTTCACGGGAACCCTTCACCATGTTGCTCTTTGCGAGAGATAGCCCAGGCTTGAAGTGCCAGGCATAGATCAGCTCCTCTGAGGCCGCCACCACGTGGCTGTCCGTGACCACCAAATGATTGATGGGCATGTTTATGTGCTGCGAGTCAAGCGGACTGCCGATGCAATTGCACAAGATTATCACATGTTCGTTGGGTTGCTCGCCCTGGAAACGCCAAGAACGGTTCTGTTAATACATCGCGTCCTTGTCTTGTGATGTCTACACATGAATTCGGAAATTGCTATTTCTATATTGTGAAATTCTTTTGGGTCGCCAATAATATTTGCAAACATTTTCAAAGCTGATGTCCATTGACCTCAAGAGAAGTTTGTTGAGGATTGGGGAACACAACAACAATTCAGTTTCAAGGGTGCGACATTCTCCACCGCAATGAAGCACAGCTGCTCAGGAGGCTATAGATATACCACAGTACTACATGCTTATGAACGAATTGATGCTAGCCCGGAATCCACCAACAATATTTGAATTTGGCAAGCTCTCAGATTGCTGATTGCTGATTGGCTATCACTGCGAGCTATATATTTCAAGTCAACAGAGGCCTCAGCGACCCATTTTCGCCCTTTGTTATTGAAATTACGCTCGTTGCAAAGGTTTTGGGACCACATAAAACAATAATAATACTATGTTGTACTGCTGTTAAGGGGATTAGGAGCAGCATCCACTCTACATGACATGTGGAAATTGTGTCACGTAGTCGGGGTGGCGTCCATTTATCATTGCTTTTGCCATGGTGAGGATGGAAAAATATGTGGAGAGGATGTGCAGATGATGTGGACAGGTAGCAAACCGCTGTGGAAGAGATAGTGGTGTTTGCTTATCAGTGATGCATGGAATTACTCAGCTAGTGACTGCATGGTGCAGTGCAACAGCAACCCTGCCATTTGCAGCCTGACTTGCTGATGTTATGAGGCAGAGCTTTTCGATTGAGTGCAAGGAAAATCCAGCTTACGCCCAATGGCGGCTTTTAGCGGAGCTCAAGCTATCGCTCGATATATGCACTTTACAACACATGGAAAAGACATCGCCAACGAGATTTTTGGATAGAGGAGAAATGGGGCAAGTTGCTAAAGGAAGTACAACGTTTTGGCTGCCGCTCAGGATCTCAAATGTCTTTTTGACTGTCCAAGCATCATCGCTGACTATTGTGAGGCGATGTGAGTACCTCGAGTGGCGGGGACAATGGTTAAAAGGCAGATTTGAAGATCAATTGCTTTGGAAAAGTGTTGAGGAGCAAATTCTTGCGACACTGGTAGCAAATAATTCGACACCATCCAATAATGGGGTCGTGCTCAGCGTCGGCTCAAGTGCGGTATATGGTATGCTGTGATTTCGGTCGGCATATTTGTGTGATAAGTGAAGACATGGATTGTTGTCTTCTTGCTGTTTTCTTCATGCGAGAGGTGTCCCTACGTGAACATGCCACCTGGATAATGTATATGCGAATCCTCACACGACACATGGGTGATATGTCCAGCCACTTTTTGGTCGTATGTCAGACGTCTCCTATGACACGGCCGAATTCATATCCTATATGTGCACGGCCGCAATTTGGATATCTTGAAAGCTCACTACTTTGTCCTGAAGTTATGCTCTGACCGGAAGCTGATGCACAATCCATGCCCTCAATTTGATTCAACGACATTGCCACTAATTTGTGGCGTACATGAGTTTTGTATGTCCATGTATACCAATTTAACTGTAACATTTGACAACAATTGCCAAAATTTTGTTAGCATTTGGATTGCGCCACCCAATTTGCCCTCAGCGATGGAGCAGCGGTCTGACGCAACAGATGGAAACCAATGCACACCGATTCAGCCTACATCTAACATTCACCGGGAATACCTGGTCAAGATCCAGAAACAGGGAAACACATCTGAACTGAGGCGCCCACAGATTGATACTACCGTTGTTCCACTCCTCATGTCGCATCTTCAGTTTGCGCGCACGGAGGTCAAAACGTGCGAGTTAGAAAAATTGACCGAAACAACTTTGACGTGCCATATCTAGAGGTTTCCGTAGAGCCCTTGAACGCTGCAAATGGCGCCGCTGTTTTCGCGATATGCTAAGGGGATCTGAAACGTCACTTTTCCATCTTGTTGGGACCTTGAGAAAAAAATTGCGCACTTGTCTCGCCACTCAAAGGCGGTGGAACGAGCCCAGCTGTTTGTAGAAAATAAATATGGCTTGTTAGTTCGGCATGCGCTGAAGATGTGGCTGAACTACAAGCAGAATAAGCAAAGCAAAAGATGCCGGTTTGCCGCAGATTCCTTGCTTCAAAATCAATTGTGCGCATATTGCGGCCGAGGGCCAAGACACAGATAGATTAGTGCAAGAGCATTGACCTAGACAACGCGCCAAGGTTAGGAAGGCCGCGCATGCTGATGCTAACCAAAAACACGGCCAACACGGCCGATCGTTGAAATTGAGAATTTTAAAGACACGATTCAGCGTAGCGGAAGAGAAGGTCCACAATGAGTTTTATCCAGATGATCCCGAAACTCTGCAGAGGGTGCAGTACTGCCTATTTGTTGCCCCCAACAAGGCTCTGGAATGATTTTGGGTAAACGGGTTGGCACATAATAATAGCGTGAATAATGTGAGCACAACAATACGGGGAGTTGAGGCCTTGGCGGAGGTGGACAGGGACGCTGTTGAGAAGGCAGTAATCTCCTATTGTATGGTGGTGACTAATGTAACCAAGATCCTCATTACCCAAAAATCGACCAAGGATTCCGAATTTGGTGGCGGATTGATTGATTGAGTTGAACTTGCAAAGTTATAGCAAGAATTCAAGATGCGACATTACTTTTTGAATGGAGGTAGTATATGTCACGCAGGTTACGCTGAGCTGCGAGCAGCGAAAATATAACCCGAAAAAGATATTGCGAATTCTCTTTCAGTGCTTTAGTCACTGCCTTTAAACACAGGTATTCTGCAAGCAATGTGCTCCTACCATTCATACGAATGTGTACTATTCGAAGGAGGGAGCTCTCTAACTTAAACGATGCAAGGCTATACATATACCTTGGCAATTTCCACACGTTGCATTAGTTGCGGCAAGCAAAAAGTCTTCCTGCAAGTCTATTCACCACTGACCTTGGTCGCCAACGCGCAGTATGATCCGCTGGCACTCACGTAGGCAAGGTGTTTCACATGTTTTGTGTAACGCTCATTGCTCTGAGAATTCCAAAAAGTGACCATCGCGTTGCCGCTGGACTCAGAGCCCTTCTTGCCAAAAGCGTACACGAGGGTATTCGAAAAATATGCCCACTTGTAATCAGGCCTAAAAGTACACACGTCACTGCATGAGCTCCAACATACAAGGTTGATAACTTGGGTTTGCAAAATGCTTCCGAAAATTATAAACTTGTGTTAACAACAAGACCACATGTGATGTTATCATTTGATTACGTTGGATCAGGGCCACACCCAATTGAAATCATGGTGATACCTGATACGAAAATTACATTGAATATTGGCAATAATATCGATTAATATCGATACATATTGATTAATATCGAATGTTGATACTAATATTAATATTGAATATTAGTATTGAAGATTACGTTGGACCGGGGCCACAGCCCTTGAATAGTGATGATGATGCCTTATACGAAGTGGTATCATGATGGATCAGTTCCATGAAGAAAACGTAAGTACAGAATTGGTGCAAAAAATGAGCTTCGTCTGTATGGCCAAAGGTAGGAATGGCTAGCGCATGGCAAGACCGTGTAGTAAGGGGAACTTTTCCTCACTGAATGTTGTGGATCACGGATTGGTGGATTCTAGAAAAAGGTCATGAACATGGCACCTCACGATCGCAAAGTATATGAACGACCCGACAGCCAGCGCCAGCCGCAGGCCGCCTCCCTCCCAGCTGAAGTCGTCGATCCGTTCCCCCGGAACACGGATCGTCCGGAGTCGCTGCCCAGAGGGGGAATAAAACCTCAGCAGAGACACCGTCTTCCTTTCGCCATTAACTGTGGCGTCCTGGCTTCCGGCGACCGCAATGGTCTGCCAATGGCAAGCACTGAAGTAGATGAGTTGTTGATTTCGTGATGGCTGGAGTGACCCCGCGCGTTCTGTGGCTTATGCATGCGCTCACAATATACGGGGTTTAGCATTGCAAGCAACTGCAGCGCTTCGCAGGCCACCTGCAGATCTGTATCCTGTGTAGACATATGCTTGTGTGCAGTGCACGGCTATGCAGATTCTCCACGCTTTTCTTTTCTCGCCTCAAGCATTTAGTTGCACATTCGCCCAGATTTCTCAAATCGATATGTGACAACGTAACAAACTGGCGATTCTAATGTATCGGAGGGAACAAGGCACATCGCTGCTATGGCCATGGCAAGAAAATGCGGTGACGTTCAGTTTTCAGATGCCGATTTTGGCGAATGCAAATGAAACAAAGAAAGTTCAGCGCGTTTAAATAATGTTTGCGCTGCTTATGTCCAATAGTATAGAATTCACAGCCTGTATTTTGAAAGGAAACCGTCGTTAGCGATGAGTCACTTGAAACATCTTCTCGTGCCCCGCACATCATTGTTCCGCAGTTGCTGATCCCAGGTGCCTAAGCCGTTCCACCCACGTGAACGTGATCAGCTGTCGGACCCATGGACATGTGTCCTTTGCAAAATGAAGCGTATACCTTGTCCTCACTATTTCCCGCAGCTCACCGATCCATCTGGGCTCCATTTGACACGCGAGATGCACAATTCCGTATCTATTTGCACCACGTCCTCTTCACTTTCGTGTGCCATTACGCGCACAATGCCGTTGTCGATTGCCATGGCCAGCATGCGATTGTCGCAGTCGAAGCGGCCGTGCCGACCTACAATACAGGGCGACGATATCACCAGTTCCAAATTACACGACTTGACACGATTGTACACGGCTTTGGTCGGTGTGGAATGGCCGGCTTTTTACAAGTGGATATGATGATGAAGTTGGTGCGATGGCTTGCCATGGTGGTGACACGTGGTATGATGCGTGGCATCGTGGCGCTGCATAGGACACCAGATCTCCAAAAGAAATGACAGGAATTAGCCAAGGTATGAGCATCCCAAACCTGAATTGGTTGCAGGCCGACAAGCCGACTACGTGGTGACCGTGCACTTTGTATGGCGGTGCATGTGCCATGTATTGCTGTTCCATGACCTATCATGTCATGCCACGTCAATACTATAAATAGAAGGGCTTACATGCTCCGACGTCACACCGCTATTTTCTGTTCGTACGAGCTTTCTTTCACAGGAGAAAGCTGTCAAACACATGAAATGGTACAAGGTACTGAGGCAGCAGTCAAATGATCGCATTTGAAATGAGCGCTGTGAAAACATCAAAGGCTTGGTGAACTTATGCAATATTCAATGTGAATATAAATCACGGTGGAGGTGTATGTACTTGGTACAGAAGCGCACAAGGCGTTGATTATGCAGATGCCGAACAGCGCGGCAACCATACAACTCCAGTGTATTCATCAGTCCTTCACTGTAAAAGCTCCTAGACACCGTGGCCAAAACTGCGTGATTTCGCCCCATTTAGCGCATGCAGTATTGGTGACACGGACTGCCAGCGACTTGAAGCCAGGAGCGATCAAACACGCTGAGAAGCGCAGGTATCCATGCAACTATATAGACCCAACAGACACGCGTGGGTAAATTGCACCGTATCCTGTATATCGAGTACTCGACGGGCTCTATATATCCTGGATATTCAATGTGTATGGGATGATGTCCTGGATATGCACATTCAGTATGCAACATATCCTGAATATGGACGCTCTACGTCCAGATTATGAGGCCTCCGTATGTTGGTCTTGACGAGGAAATGGGCGAGGACGTGGCCATATCCTGTGATGCAACCGTATCCTGGATGTGGAGATTTTCCTGAGGCAGCAAAGCCACGCGCCGTAAGGGCTACTCGTCCACGTCACAGATTCTCCAAACTGGTGGTTTTAACTCACTTGGACACCACTCCACGCCAACAATGTTGGGTCCTCCATGCACGGAATCCTGTTGGAGGCACCACACGCCATGCCAATTAAATCCTCGCAGTCGCAGCTGCAGTTGCCCCTCGCCACCTTGAGAGGACGTTCGACAAGGTCTTAGGCACGAAGACTGAAGGGTTGAAAGCCGCAGTAAATTTCACTCAAACGTATGCGAAAGCAACACCATTAAACTGATTTTGTGCTCTTTGCGTTGCATCGCACATACATATGATATGATATTATTCATATGCACATTGCGGCAGTTCTGATGTGCAGCATTCATCAGCTTAGTGCGGTCTCGGCAGGAAATAATTGCCCGAAATTGCCAATTTGGGGCAAAAGGAATCGAATGTACTTGTTGGGATTTCTCACCGCTGCCGGCAGCGGCGCCCTGGATATGAAGTTCCCGTTGCTGTCGTATACGTCGCACCTTCCGTTGGCGGCACAGAACAGGATCCTATTGGCCATTGGGGACCAGGCCACCAGCGAAAGGTTTGTTCCCAATTCCTTGCCCCACAATCGATTCCCTGTATACAAGGCGGGGCATCTTCTCAAATCAAAGGACGTGCACTGCCCTCATGAAGGAAATAACCAATCGATAAAGGATTTCCTTCAAACTTTTTCTCAGACATGGATATCTTTACATTTTTACTGCTCATGTGCATTGAAATAAAGATTTGAATACATTCCAAATCTAAAATAATGACGTTCTACGTATCTCATGAACAGAAATTCTTACATTTGATTCAACACTTTTGAAAATATGGAAGCTCTTTCCATCAGACGCTCAGGCATTCCAACGAATGGAGTTCAGTACAATTCACTAATGGCGACAACTGCGCGAGCATATTTTGTTTTCAAGAGCCTCACTGCATGATTAAGCAAGAGAGCGCACGGGGCTGTAAATAAGCAGACATGGTCTTCAGCAATACCAAAGTAGCTAATGAAGAATCATCAGCGGATAGTTCGCAAGTGTTCCAAGATCCATCTCATTCAAGAATTGTGCGACGCCCAGTGCCGATACCATCTACTCCTCCAACGATCACAGCTCCATCTTTGTAAATGATGCAGATCTTCTCTCCGTCAGCCGTCCAGCGCATGTCGCACACGACGCTCTTGTTCCTGGAGGCGATTGGGGTAACCTCAAAGATGACGAAGGCAAATGGCATGACAGACAACGTTGTGATCATCACTATACATTCCTTGACTGCTGCAGCCACGGATGATTGGCGCCTTTCTCCCTCAGCAAGGTGCTCTGGAAATGAATTTTGTTCATGCAATGGTTGTCAATTGCCTTCATGCCGGGAGGCCTTGAGGGCAGACCCACAGTCACAGGCGTCGCCTATATCTAGGTGTTGGTGCATGCCAGTCAGGCAGAAGTTTCTCACCCACATCATACGCATTTCGCGAGTGTGAGAAAATCAAGAAAAATAGTGCACCTGCAACGATGTCAGAGACCCAACTTTCCCTGGCGCAAATTTTGCTCGGAAATTTAGTAACACGGCTTTGCGGACGCTCAGAGTGCACCCGCCCCTTCTTCGAACTTTCCTGCTCCCAGTTTCCCAGAGTGGCAAGATGTGCTGCATCGCCTACAAGATGGCGATATGCACATCTCAGCAAGCATCGATGTCTAGCAGCCGTCTTCGCGCCCCACGATATTCGCCACCTCGCAATCGCGTCCCGGACCATTGTCTGCTTTTGATCGCTCTCTTGTAGAGTAAATTCATGGATGTGCGCAATGTCTCCATGCCTGATTTGAGTCAACCAGCTGTTGAATTGCCTCCTAATGCGCCAAATGGATTTCCAATACAGAATTTCGGAACATTATCTCTTTCATGGTGTTTCTTGAAGCTCACCCATTTCCGCACGCTCGGCGAATAACAATGCGCTTTCCTCACCTGTTGTTTATCATCTCCTCCAGCCATGTGTTTCTGTTCAGTGCCCACACGATGATGAGCCCTTTTTCGTCGCTCGTCGTGAGTTTCTGATGCACCGTATTCCACGCCGCCACCCGCACCTCTCCGCTGTGGCCCTCCAAGTTTTGGTTGGCCGAGAGAATGCTGCCGCCTCCGCCGCCACCCTTCTTGGGGTCCTTCCGGACGCCAGACTCGAGCGCCAGCACCTGCGGGGCTCCAAACGCATCGGCAGGCGGCATTCATGCGAAAACTGTGTCCATTATTGCTTTTACTGCTCAGTCATATTTATAAGCATTCAATGCGATATGTGGGGCTGCAACCAAAATTTGGATTCTCAGCTGTAAATTTTCCAGCGCTGGTGGAGGTGGGTCGCACTGACTCAAGAGAATGATCATGGTTTTTGATTGCGAATGGATGCGCATACGCACAGAGAACTCCTTGCACCACGTGGGTCGCGATCAGTTGATAGCAATGCAGTCCACGCTGATTTATTCTCACCTTGAGCATGCCCTCTTCGCCACCACAAGCGATCCATCCATCTTCTTGATTCCAGGATATGCATTTAATCTTGATTCCGTTGGGAATGGCGATCTTCTTGCTGCGAAAAATCCACGGTGTGAGCACAGCCATCGGGCTGTCTGACTCGAGGGTGCGCCATCCAGGCCCATTCGATCGGGGGCACTTTCGCGCAATACATGAGGCGATACTGGGGTGTGGGAAATTTGCAATGGCACAATCGCCAGGGTTAAAAATCAATGACATAGCCAGCACATTCGATGCATGCACATACTGCATTTATACTCACATACAAAACTTAGAGTTGGAACCAAACGTAAACAGTGTGGCGCTAAAGATCCATCGCCAATTAACCATATAACCATTGTTAAAAGGGACCTGTGGCGAACCTCAGTCCCTGGCACAGGGCGAAATACTTGGTGCGCATTCAAGACTGAAGTAATGCTTTTCAAAGGCAGGCAATCACGTGTTAATTTCCCATGGGCGCCGTTGGTGTCTCTGACTGACCCGCGAATCCAGATTTCCCTGGGCTGTGGGACCCGCGAAACGAGAGGCAAGCCCGTCAAACAAGTTCCCAAACAACCACACGAACGGAAACAACAATGATCTGAAGCTCCCACCGCGTATGCACGACGCAGTTTCTGTCAATTCTGTACTTGCGCGGACGGCGCAGTTTGAAACTGGAACTGGGCAGAAGAGTCCGGCGAGCCAGCGCATCTTCCCTTCCACCTTGTCCGCCAGAGCTTGCCACACGCGACGTTCTTGCTCGCGGCTGCGACAGCGCAACGCAACCTTCCTCCTTCCCATCGCATTTTCGGCGGTGTCGCGAAAGCAGGGCGGCGCACCTGAGATGGGCAAACATAGCTGCACTTGCGCCCTCTCTCTGTCAGTGGCCTCCGACTAGGTGCACGAGCGCACGTGGTGCAGTCAGGTGGATGTCGCCCGCAGTCGCCCTCTGATGCACCGGGCGATCCCCCGGGCGGTTGGCCGATGGATGGACAGAATGGCCGAGGCACAATGCGGCCTGCTCATAGCTGGCTTTGTGGATGTGCTTTGCGGAAATGTGTACCCATTAGTGTCCACTCTGATTACACTGAATGGGCGGCTGGCGGCAGCCACCACCAAGGCATGGTATGATGGCAGCAACATTCGGCTGCAAGCCGCTGCGGGAACTTGCGCCAAACAAGCAAGAGTTGCTGTACCAAAATGGAGGGTCAGCAGTATGAGGGCTAGTCGCCTGTGTGCATGTGTGCTATTTGTCGCCTGCGTCCGCAGTCGCAAAGCTTCTCCAATCTTTGCCAGTGTTTCAGGTTCGCCGCCGTTTACGCCATCATTGGCATTCCAACGATGGTGCATTATATGACAGGTAATTTACCATGCAGGATACTTAACAAGTCGCCACCATTCGTTGTTTATGGTATTTTTCACCACCTGGTGCCTGTTTGTGGCGGCGACTGGCTGCGATTGAGGTAGCTTCTCTGTCGAAACTTGGACCTTCTGAAATCAGACAGATTCTGTCCAGCGCATTCGAAGTGAATTTTATGCTTACTGGTACACCTACGAAAGGAGCGATGGCTGAAAATTTCCTCGGAAGTACACAAAGTGTTTCCTTCACTGCTACTTAATCCAGCTATGCAACGTTGGGACTTTTCAGCTATTGATTTGAAATTGAAAACATCAAACAAGTCCGGAGGCGGAATATCTTTGTTCCGTGGCATCTCTCAATGCAGTTGATGTCCCTCCAATCTGCCGCGCGGTGGTCACACTTGGTTCAATTCCAAATTGCACGGCCGTGTTTTCACCGTTTACCCACATTGGAAACGTGCGCCAACCTTCGAATCTACACTGCCTAAACTCTTTCTGCTGCCATATGCCTCCCTTTTTTTCTGCGCCAACACGCGCTGAAAACTGCCAGAAAACGTGTGGCTGCCCTGTCGGGCAATCACTCCCAGCCCGCCAATTTGCCACTATCAGCCCTTGCGTTGCCACCCACCCCTGGCTATCAGCAGCAAGTGTTGCGCATTCTGCACGCGCACGCCCAACTCAGCACACCTGCCCAAACCGGCGTGAGCTGACTCGCGCGCACGGCCATCATGGGACCCGGCTGCAAATCTTCACACAATAACTAAAAATAACGCAAGCAGCGATGGGTGCCCATCTTGTAACTTCAACTAGTTGCGTGCAGGGCGGAGGTTTCTGAATGGACACCAGGACCCGGTCGTGCCGGATTTTCCCATCATATTTCTGTCTCCTTCCAGGAGGGCAGCGCCCCCTTGCTTCCCCAATTTCCTTGTCTTCATCGTCATTACTTCACATGCCAAGGCAATGAGGTAGCCGTCAGCTTCCTGTTCTGCCCGAACAAAGCAGTGTCTATGATCAGTTCATGGAAACCTAATGTATAACACAAACAAAGTCTGGGAGCCTGTGAACTCGTAATGCCAAGAAGCGTGCTTGTGTTCCCTCGAGGGCCCCCAAACTCAATTTTGTGTTCCATTAACCTCCATTCCCATCTCGCGCCACCGGATCTTCCCCGCCCAGATCTCAACTTTGCCTCCACCCCCCACTTTGCCCCCCCGAGCCCCTGCGCTGCTTCCCCGTCCTCCTCGCCGCGCCCACCCCGCCCCTCCGCACCCCCGCGCCCACCCCCGCCGGGCGCGCCTCCCCTCCCCCGCCTCAGCCGCGAAGCGACCGCCGCCATGAGTACCATCGTGGGGTGCCCAAAGGGCCTGGGGATCCGGTTGGGGTCCAGGACACACGGCCTGCGGGGCGCCAGCAACGGGTCCCGCGCCGTGATGGCCGCCGACAGACCGTCCTGGTGCCCCGGATCGACGCCGCCGGCGCATCTGGACGGATCGATGACGGGGGACTTCGGGTACGACCCCCTGGGGCTGGGCGCCAATCCCGAGGCCATGAAGTGGTTCAGGGAGGCGGAACTGCAGCACGCGCGGTGGGCGATGCTGGGCACGGCAGGGATCCTCGCGCAGGTGTGGATGCGGGCCTCGGCCTGATGTTCGGCTCTGGATCGGATGCGTTGTCTCTCGTTGAGGGATTTGAAGAGTCGACCGGAGGGATTGAGGATGGGGGCACGGGCTGGCAGGGGTTCCGTGGTGTGGGAGACGGATTGGATGGGAGGAGCTGGTCGGCGTGGCGCGCCTGCGGATCGGTGCGGGCCGCGGTGTGGGTTGGTTCTGGGCTAGTTCTTTCGAGAAAAGTGTGAAGGGTGGGAGAACGTGGTGTTTTGGCATCTTTGCAGAATGTTCTTTGGTGGACGGGTCGTTGGGTATAGATTCCTGTGGCTGGTCGCGGAGGGCAGCCGCAAACCTGGTATCGGAAGTCAGGAAGTGGGAGCGTGATACCTGGAGTGCGTGATGCCCCGGTCCCCCAGCAATGGGCAGCGGTGGAGCTGTCTTTGCGCCTATGGAAGATTGGGATATGTTTGGGGTCTGTGGAAGGGGCACCGCGTACGGCCGGCAGTGTGCGAGCGGATCTTTGGCGGGAGATTCAAACGCGTGGCAGGCGCAACTGCCGAAAATCGAGTATTGACAGCTGCACGAGTTTTAGCTAAAGCATTCTAACGTTGGCCAAGGGATGCACCACAATGCCCAGCAGTGCCCTTGTCACGGGGATTCCGGGTCTGCGCCCAGAATGGTGCGCGGTGGTGTGAATCTGTCCAAGCACGCCTTCACCTCCTCTTTGCTGATGGCAAACCCGTTGAGGAACTCATGTGGGTGGACAGTCCCATCCCCCACAGCGTCGACAGATAAAACCTGCCCTGACTGAGTTGCCCACCGTCGGCTGTGTCCGTGTACAGGAAGTCACGAACCCAGATGTCTTTTGGTACGAGGCTGCAGTCAAGGCCGACCTGCCATTCAACCCTCTGGGCCTGGTGGCCTGCCAGGCATTCGCCATGCATTATGTGGAGGTTCGGCGGTGGCAGGACCTGAGGAAGCCAGGGTCTGTAAACCAGGATCCTGTGTTTAGCAACTTCAGCCTTCCCGATCATGAGGTGAGTGCCAAGGGTGTGTTGTTGGTCCCATTGCCAATTGGGTTATGTGGAGGAATGACACTGCATCCTTGTATATGCATATCCATCCCATGCTGCCGATCTCCAAGTTTGTCCACAGACATTTTTCTTGCTAAATTTCTGTCAACCGCACTTTGCAAGAATTGACAATGTGGTGTAGCGCTGTAACGCTGCCCGTCCTTCGTTTGTAAGGTTGCGCTGTGTATCATCTGTTGCTGCTAAGCAGCGAAATGCAAAGGTCACTCCCAACTCACTGAAGCCCACTCCAGGTGATTTCATCCTGTTGCCCAGTGCGCTGGTGGGAGATATTATCAACTGTTTTGGTTCACTTCAGCCCTGCAAATTGGGACAGAATGCAGACTGAATGTCTGCTGGACCTGCCACTAAACTTACATCGTTCCAGTTGTTCATAGGCATCCCGGTTCTGATGAAGTGGCTGTGCTCAAGCACCAAACTAGGGCTTGTATTTTGGGTCTGTGTTTCAAGGATTGTTAAATATAATGGCCAATGAACAAGGATGCAGTGCCATTCTTTATGCAAGTTCAGCGCTGTTTGTGTTGGTCGCGCATTGGGGTCTTGGCATGTCAGGCTGAAGTGTAATTCGAGAAAAACAAAGTTATTCTCACCTCTGTTGCCAAAGTGCCAGTCCCACCACAAGTTGCAGCTTGGTGTATGCGGTGGAGAACTCAGGCTTCGCTACCCGAATAGGCCTCAAGACATGCCAGCCTCATGCCCTTATCGTGGCCTGCCCTGGGCACAGCGTCTGTTTAGTCCTTATGTAGTAAAATCATCGAATGTGACAGAGCATTGCCATTTCACAATTTGACAACACTGGATGCTGCTCATGTATGCAGGTGTGTGTTCTCAATTTGCTTTCTTTTTTAGCTCTGAACAGTTTGCCAAATTGCAATTTTCCGATTGCCTGCATCAACAGGGCATCTGATATTTTGGTGTTACTGTGACCAGCCGGGCTACCCTGGTGGGATCTTTGCCCCCTTCGTCCCCGGTGACATCGAGGAGCTCAAGCTGAAGGAGCTCAAGAACGGCCGGCTAGCCATGGTGGCTTTCATCGGATTTGTGATGTCTGCTCAGGTCAGTTGCTATGCTCGCCTGCAAAGTAAATTTGATCCCTGTTCCTGGGAAGCTCGTCTTTGCCCACCCGCAACTACCAGTTCCCACAAACACAGGTGGAGCGGTTGATCTGAATCACACTTGGCTTGTGTTCGCATTAGGTTACGGGTTTGAACCCACTGGCTGCGTTGAAGAGCCACCTGGACGACCCCCTGGGCTCCACCATCTTCTCCAAGTCTGTTGTCACGCCCACTGCCTACTACGGCCCAGGCTGCGCCATAGCCGACTCTGTCAAGTTCTATGGCATTGAGATCCCCACCCCTTGCTTCCTGGACGGCCTGTGGCCCTGAACGCTAGGTTTGGAGAGTGTGTAGAGCACCTGTAAATGTACTTGGTTCTGGAGGGGCATGTGGTTTGGGTTGGCGAGTTTTGAATGTAAGGAGAAAATTTACGGTTCCTTCACAACTGGATTCCTTTCTTGATTTCAGGATTGGTTCTCCTGGTCAACAACATGACGATGTCCAAATCTATATGATTTCCAATTTTTGGCTCAAATTCGTCAACGCATCTGGGTGTGCAGGGATCTTTGTCTGTTGTCATGCTTGTGCAATGCCATGTTCCTTGACTTGTATTTGCCAATGCCACCTTCCAGAATTCTTGTTCGTCAAGGGATGGAAGGGTGACAAGCAAAATTCATGAATCGAATTCAGAAACCCCCAGAAACTTGAGGGCGCCGTATTTGATGAATATTTCAGATGGTGGTGCGGCTTTTTCAGTTGAGCTACTAACGGTAAATTTGACGATGTTGGGAGAAATGCCGAGCAAAATGCTGCGAAGAGGACGACAACTCCGTCAATTCTGAATCTTGTGAATGCCCAAACGGACTGTGCGTCCGCGCCCGCTGGCCACCCAAGCAGGACCCGCGCAGCGGTGGGCGCAGATGCACGGTTTGCTTTTCGAGGGGGCCACCGCCTGGGAAGTTGTCGACCGCACTGATCGTCCCGAAGCCTCTGCTTTCGGCAAGGACGTCCCAGCCCGGGGTCCCGATGAGCCCGGGTTCCCTCGCGTTAACCTCTATCCCCCATGCCGCCCATCCCTTGCTGGGCCCCACAGTCGCGCCAAACCCGGGGGGGGCATCCCGGGCGGAAAACCTTGGTGGCCCGTGACTCATCCGAGCGCAAACCCTACCCAACGCCGCGCCTCATCGACACCCCCTCCGCGCAACTTCTCGCACCCGGGCCGCCCAGGTCACTGCCGAGGTCACCCAACCCCCGGCCCCTCGACCGACAGCGCTCGCGGCAGCCCGCCAGGCCCCCGTCCCCGCGCGGCCAAGCCCGCCCCGGCATCGGCCCTCGTCCACAGATCCGCGAGCGCCAAGGCCACTGTCGGGCGGGGACATCCGATTGCGACTGGCTGCCGCCTCGGGCTGCGCCCGCGGGGTGCATCCTGGATGGACGGCTACGGCACCGTGGTGGGCTTCGTGGATGCCGTACAGGCGCACTCGCCCTCCAACTGGCCCCCTGGTGACGACAGTGCGCCGCACGAGCCTCCCGTGGGCGGGCTGTTCTTCATCTACGTCTCCAGCCTGCCGCCCGTGGGGCCCAAGAGCATGCGGCGCGTGGTGATCGCCAACAGCCACCCGCTGTTCGGCGTGGTGGTGCAGATGGCGCTGGACGCGCATGCGCGGCAGGCGGACGTCAAGGTGGGCTACCTGGGGGAGTCCAACCTGTGTCCCAACTGCTGGGACTTCGGGATGCTGCAGGTGATGGCGGGCTAGGCTCGGCGGGCTTGGAGAAGTGGCGGAGCCAGGTGGCCGGTGATGCGGTCCGGAGAGCGAGAGGGGTGGGATTGGAAAGGGTTTGGGAGGCGCATAGCGATCGTGGGCGGCTGAGCAGCGAGGGATCGCTTTTGCGACGGGCGATGTGCGCGTCGTGGCGTTCCAGGGAGCGGATGCGAGCCCGAGGACGAGGACGGACGTACCAGAGGCGTGTCTGCTCTCTCGCTCCTTGCGGATGCGCTGGGGGTCCTGAGTGCGCATGGACAACAGTCGGGAGCCTCGCGGGCGGTCGCTGGAGGGGGGGGCGAGCCTGCCGCGCCCCCGGGCAATAAGAAACGATGATGAACGGAGACCAAGGGTCGGCACGGGAGCGGGGATGATGGTGCAGGACCCTGCGAAACCACGTTGGACAGACCACTGAAAATGCACCGAAACAGTGTGCCCCAAGGATGATCGCGTTGAGGCGCATCGGTGTGTGAAAGGATCCACAAGGCTCGTTGATGATGGCTATGCAAGGATCCATCGGACCTGCACGAATTGTTTGCGGTGTTCCCAGCGGTATAGGCAGTCCTTTAGGCAAATAGGTGGCTAGTTCGAAATTTTGGCGGGGGAAACAGTGGCATAGTACCCCATTTCCTTTAATGTTTTGGTGGGTTTGTGTGGTGTTGCATACTCCCAAGGAATCTGGAGACGGAAGCAGGTGGGCCTACGAGGCTGTGTCCTGCTCAGCTTCTCCCTTTTCTCACAATAAACTAAACTTGATTCGAGAATACGGCGTCTTAAGAGCAACGATGGCCATTATGCTTGCCATGCCTCATTGCACCTAATTTGCAGAGCAGCAGCCACACAACATCTCCGAATTTGTGCAAGGTTTTAGCGTTGTCCTGTACAACGAATGCAATAACACACAAGGTCACATGCTCCCCACAGTTTCGCACATACAGCGCCTAGCACTCCAGAGTGGATTGTCACACTGGCAACCCAATGGCTCCAGTCGGATGAGCTTTGGACGCATCCCATGCGATCTGCCCAAGGAGTACTTTTTTCTCCAACCGCAAAAACACATCTTCAGGTCCTTATCCACGCCATGCAGCACGCTGAACAGCCACGGCTCCAACCAGCCATCTTCTGGAATCTTTTGGACCTCCATGATCCCTTTCCAAGCACCTTGTGCACAGCCTCTGCGGACGGCGACGATCCATCTCACCACGTTCTTCCTGTGCAAGGCCATTGTGGCCGTAAAGAGGACAACGGTGAAAGGGAGAAGGACATGCACAATCTGGGATCGTTGACGCGTGGAAATCTTAGTTGGAGAGAATGCCAACAGAGAAGAGTTCGACGCGCTTGATGTCGATGTCATACGTGGTATGGCTCCAGCTGTCCACTTCGAGTTCTTTGGAAACAATTAATCCGAGCCGAGTGTACAACAAAGACAGGCCCACGATGTCGGGCACCACAACTATTGAGATAACGAGCAGAAACCTGGCTATTGCGACGAGGCCACTGCTGATAATCGACGTTCTTGTTTCCACAGTTCCCAGCCCACTTTCCAACTGTTCTTGCCTGCACCGGCTGCTGCACTGCCTGCCTCTGCGTGCCCTTCTCATGCCCTTACTCCAACGAAACAGACGGCTGATGACGAAACCTGTGCCAGAGCGTACATGGTCTGCAAAAATGCAGACAAACGCAGTGAGGATTGCCAAAGCCACCTCGGTCATGCTGGAAGGAGTTGGGGTGTTGCGCGCAGCAAATGTCACCTCCGTGCCTATCGCTTTGCCCACGTCTTGCATGATTTCGAAGTGTCCTTTCAACAGTGCTATGGAAGTCTCTGAGCAAGAAACCTCCCCTAGAATGGTTCTATGCATGACCATTCTGTCCTGCGCCACGAAATTTAGGTTAATGCAGTGCACATATTCCCGATCATGGTCACGGAATGTTTGCTTCCCATAGAAATTGACATTGTTATTCAATTGGATCAGCATTTCCGGCAGGATTCTTTGCATTCCGGCGTTCGCTGGTCCCTCTAGTTTTATATTATCATTCTTAATTTTGATGACCTTGCCTGCATTCCGCCCTTGGCAAAATATCCAAAGCCTGCGGTCCCCGGCCAGTCTTTCTGGCTGGACCACCTTTCACCAAAATATCCCCTGCATCCTGTCCAAGCCAAAGGCGGTGGCCCCAATGTCACCCTCTTGCGCTGGACTCCACGAATATTCGAGAGATACAACATCAGTCAAGGGAAGTGTTCTCTGCCACGCCAGCACCCTTGTGAACTCCTGGAAATCCTCAGGCACATTGTCGTCAATTGCCTCTGGTGGTATCTCGTGGAGGTCTGCGCCCTGCCTGGTACTAGGAAAAAACATGCCAGATGACACAGCCCTGACACGGTTTGCTCGAAATCCAACTGTGTACTTTCGGAAAATGTGGTCCCCAGCCACACAATTAGTATGCACATTGACACAGCTTCAACCATGTGCTCTCAAACAACTGTGTAGACTACGCAGTTTCCTAGGGTACACGGTTAAAATTGTGTCAGTGTGTGTACTAACCATGCGGTTTTGGGACCACATTTGCCGAAAGTGCGTAGTTGGATTTTGAGGAGACCGTGTCAGGACTGTATTATCTGGCCTGTTTTTTACTAGTGCGGAGTCATTGGCGAACACCCCTTCTATCAGAGGATGGCGTGGCAACTGCTGCTGCAGCGTTGTCCGAAGGGGGTCGGCCATTAGAAAAAAATCTCCACAATACAATACGTCCCCCGGATCAAACGCGCCAATGGCCATGAAGCATTTGTTGGTGCCTCCTTGAGAATGCAGAAGGACGGACCTGCTCTGGAAGCAATTTGCATCCAAGCATCTGCAAAAAATACGCACGGACTCTCATTCCCTTGTATCTCCCAAATTCTGCGTGGGCCACGAAGCCACCCGATTGGATAATCAGCAGAGCCGCGCCGACTTCCTTGTGCAACAAGGCGGCTGTCTCCACCGTGCCGCCTCCAGCCAATATGTCCGGTCAATACCTAGATCCCAAGGGCGCTGATTCGGCGAGGCTGATCAGGGGGCAAACGAAATAATCGTATCGTAACACTGCCTGCACCTGAGCCCCCAGGAGCGTCTTCCTGCCCATGGTTTGACAGGTCACGGCGATAATCATCGGCATTGTCACTGTGCGCAGGGCTGATGATGTCCGCCAAATGCCCACCACAAAGGCGGCATATATAAAATCTTGTAGTGTGTGTCTCTGCATCACTGCTTTGCCGTTTTGACATGACCAGAGCCTTGGCAGTTGTCGATAAGGCCTCACAAACGATTATACCTGTGGCAGCAAGTTGAACAACCCCTGGCCGTTAAGTTGTCAATTTTTTGATTGCTGCCTTCTGAAGCAATTGTAGTATTAGCGCACTGCAAAATGATCCACGCAATATATTTCATTTCCATACATACGCCATGGCGCTTCTGCATGTACAGGCGCAAAAATCTGATGTGTTAAATGTGGATGGCTGGCAACGACATGCTTGGTTTTGCAAAGAATTTGCAAGAGAAATAACTGAAGTGGACACTCGCCCAAGTCCAACATTAGATGTCAGAATTCCCGGAATGTAATATGCAACCGATGTCAACATCAATCCACTCGCCACAGCATATTCGCCATTTGTAAAGGAGTTGCCACAAATCATCATGGCAATTGCATGACTATTAAGAGACGCTCAACTTGGCAAGCTTGCCCCTCGTTGCTATCGTCTGCCAGGCACAAACTATAGATTGGGGTGTAGAAAACCCATGGCGCCTGCATCCGATGGTTTGGTGCAGGCGCTCAGCACGTTTCAGTTGCAAGCAATATAGCAATTAGAATGCTTTGCAGAGAGAATTCTCTGGCCTGCACACCAGCTTCCCCTCAAGACACCCCACCCGGTTTGCTCGGTTTTTGCTACAGTAATCCACAGCCAAATGCGCTCCACGCGCCACCATAATGATGCTGAACACTGCCTGGTCAGCGTCCCGTTAAATGTGGCCTGCTGAGCTACACCTGCCGTAACTTACATCCCGTGATACGGCCCGCTCAGTGGCCTGTCTATGCTTGCGCCTCAGGCCGTCGTCTTTAAGTCGCTGAGTCCCAGCCGCTGTCCCTGGAAGTCCGCCAACCCCCCCTTGTGGCGCGGACGCCTTCACGGCAATTGCACATGGGCAGGCGCGCTGGCTCTTGGGCTTCGTCCGACCCATCCCATGCAAGATCGAGTCCCGGAGTCCCATGCTCGCCGCAGTGATGGTTGCCAACCGCGGGCAGCCATCGCCTCCAAAAACGAAGCGTGGGATGCATTATGAAAACGGGGTACACAACGCACTAAAGAAGGCGAACGATCAGCGCCCACCACTCCAGGAGCACACGCAATCCGCGCAAGGTAGATCATGGGTCAGAGTTCATAGCGATTGACGGGAAAACGCGCCTAGAAATAGCCCCCCCAAACCACATTGCTGTAAAGTGATGGGGATTGCTTGCAAACTGGAAGGCTACAAGCTAAAATGGTGGGTAGAAAAATGGTCCGGATTTCAGGAAAGCCACGCGCCACTTTCCACTGATCACCCAAGCTTCAGTCTCTTGGGTTTTTGAATGATTGCCATAACTCACGAAAGCACCCCATTTTTGTTTTGCACACCACGTTTCGTTCTTAGAAATGGTGGCTGGCCGCGATTGCTGACCATCGCGGTGGCGAGAATGGGACTCTAGAACTCGATCTTGTGCAGGATGGGTCGGGCGAAGCCCAAGAGTAAGCAGGTGTTGCGGCCCTGAAGGGCGCCGCTGGTTTCCGAAGCTCGTGGGGTCGCCACGCCCTGCGGCTTGGCTGTTGGAGGTCAGCCAGCCCTCTCCGCCGATTTCGGTGGGCGGAAGCGGGGCGCTCGTTCCCTCAGATGCGCGGTGGGCCCAGAACGATGGGGATTGTCCCCCGGGGCCTGCTGTATGCGGCGGGTGGTGGCACAGCTGGTCGGTGGCTCGCTGGTGGC